GTCGCTGTACGTGGAGCGTGGCCCACTCGGTGCTGTGGCTGCGGGTCTCCTTTCCGCGCCTCGCCACGACGTCGGCCCCGGCTGTGCCCGGGTGCTCGGGGCAGGTCCCAGCGGAGTGACTGACAGCACGGTGCTCAGGGTTCCCTCGAAGTTAAACGCTGGGCGTCCGAGTTTCGGTTTCTTCTGCCGCGAAATAGTGGTCAGGATTCGAAAAGAGATAATGCAGGGCAAATGCAGAACGCAGCCAGTACTGATTTGGCAGTGTTACGAGCAACAACACGGGCAACTGAGCAGCGTGATGCGGGGGTGGGGGGCAACAGCCCGTAGTCTGATCTCATTTCAATGAAGGTTTACTAGAGGCAAACCGTAGAGGCAGCATTTACCTCGGGGGCCGGGGGGGGGCAGAAACCGGGACCTAATGCAGTGCAAAGGAGCGGGGGGGGGTACTTTGGGGAGGCGAAAGAACATAGCCCCACATCTTAACAGTGGTGGTTCAGCGACTTAGGCGGTGGCTGAAAGTCCTCAAACTAGTGTCTAAGTGGGTGAAGTTTCTTCAAGTTATATACAAAATTTCCTCAAAAGTCGGGACAAAAGTTAAAAAGAATGATCATGGCTAGGCGTAGTTGGGGATGAGACATAAATTGGTGGGGGAGGGAATATCACCGGTTACAAAAACCTGAGCGTTAAGTGCGGGCAGGCTCTGAATGTGTAGGGGCTTCTAGTTCTCTAGAACCAAGGAATGGCTCCGGTCCGAGGGTGATCCACTATTGCGAGCAGGTGATGCCCCTAAATTTGTTAGGATCCAGTTGATGTAGAGGATAGGTCCCCTCCGTGCGGCATCCTCTCCCCGGGTGGGTGAGAGGGTCGGGCTTCAACACCGCTTCCGGAGTGGGAGTTTTCCCGCGGTGCCCCCTTACCCCAAGCTCCAGCGAGGAATTGAAAATAGTCTGCCCTGACACCCGAGCAATTGGCTGGAGGGATCCAGGGCTGCGCCCAGAGGCGTGAGAGAATGGGGGGGGCGGTGAGGAGAGCTTCACAAAAGGGACAGAAAACATAGTAGCCGGTAACAGATACCCTGTCATCCCCCTTCCTCCCATCCACACGATTCTGCTTGGAAGCTGCCTTTTGGGACTGAGCGACTATTTCCCTGTGAAGTTGCTTCCAGATCAATAATGTGCCACTCCGCGATTACTTTCTTCCCCATTTCCGCCCACCCTCCCTGCCCTACAATGTACCTCCTAATCAAATCTTTGCCCTCAAAGTCGGCCTCAGGCTCCGTTTTCTAGTTAATCCTTTAGCAGTGTTTGGGCTTTAGATCTGGGCTTTCTTAAAATTCCACAGTCACACAAGCAGTAGGATTTTTTTTTCCCTCCCTGTTTTGGTTCTGGCTTCATGTCCCCCTAAAGCGCTAGTTTATTTTGATTAGCCCGTGTTTGCAGTACATAATGGTTACATTCCTTATG